ACACAGAATAAGATTGATTATATTCGTGGAAAGAACCACTGGAGAAGCTTATAATCAGCTTTCAAAACTCTGTTAAAACAAAGGGAAAACATGCCACAGAAAAAGAGTTGAGCAGAAGATTTCAAAGGGCAGCTCAAGAAAACAAAACAAAATATTATAATGGAATGTGTAGAGAGCTAGAATTGAGAATAAAAAGGAAAGAACTCACTCTGCATTTCTCAAGCTGAGAGAGTTGAAAACCAAATTTAAAACTTGAGGCATAATATTGAATGATGTTATGGGTAATATTGAAAAATCTATGGGCGATATTGAAAGATGCTATGGACAGTATATTAAATAATCCAGAAATTATCAAAAGATGTTGGGAATACACTGAATTACTGTACCAAAAAAACCTGCTAGACATTGAAAAATTTCAGTAAGCACCATATGAACAGAAGTCAATGGAGGAGGAAGTAGAAGTGACATTGAAGACACTGGCAAAAAATAAGGCCGTAGGAGTTTATGGGATACCAAGTGACTTGTTCCATTTAATAGATGAAGTCTTGGATGCACTCACTAGTCTATGCCAGACAATTTGGAGGACAGCTGTCTGGCCAATGTATTAGAAGTCCTTATTTGTTCCCATTCCAAAGAAAGGTGATCCAACAGAATATGGTAACTATCAAACAATATCATTAATATCATATGCAAGCAAAATAATGCTGAATAGCATTTTAAAAAATGGTTAGAACTATATAAAGATAAGGAAGTTCCAGAAGTTCAAACAGAATTTAGAAGAGGTCATAGTACCATAGCACATTGCTAATGTCAGATGGATCCTGGCTGAAAGCAGAGAATACCAGAGTAATATATACATTTGCTTTATTGACTATGAAAAGGTCTTTGATCACAGCAGGTTGTGCCTGATATTGAGAAGAATGAGATTTCCATAGCACTAAATTATGCTCATGCCAAATCTATATCTGGACCAGAAGGCTGTTGCACAAACAGAACAGGGAAACATTGCATGGTTTAAAATTAGAAGGGAGTGTGCCAGGGTTGTATTATCTCTCTCTGATTATTCAATCTGTGTGTTAAGCAAATAATTCAAGAACCAGAACACAATGAAGATGAATATGACATCAGGATTAGAGGGAGACTCATCAATAACCTATGTTATGCAGATGATGCAACCTTGCCAGCTGAAAGTGAGGAAGATTTGAAGCAGAAGATCAAGTCAGCCTTCAATATGAATCGGATCTTAACGTCAAGAAAACAAAGATTCTTATCACTGGAACAATAGTCAACATTATGATGAATGGAGAGGGATTGAAACTGTCAACAACTTCATTTTGCTTGGATTCACAATTAACACCCTTGGTACCAGTTCTCTGAAAATAAGAAAATACATTGTACTGGGTATGTCTTCAGTTAGGGACCTCTCCAAATTATTGAGGAATAATGTTGCCAGTTTGGGGACCAAGGTATATCTGATTTAGGCTATGGTCTTTCCGATCACTTGATATACATCTGAAAGCTGGACAATAAATAGAGATGACAGAAGACGATTTGATGTCTTTGAGCTATGGTGTTGGAGAAGAGCACTGAACATCCCATGGACTACCAAAAGAACAAAAAAATATTTCTTGGAAAGGATATAAACAGAGTGCTTTCTGTAGGCAAGGATGATGAGGCTTCACCTCACATACTTTGGGAATGTTCTTAGGAGGAATTGTTCTTGGAGAAGGACATAATGCTCGGAAGGTTGCAGGGTTGGTGGAAGAGAGGAAAACTCTCAACCAGATTGATTGTCAAGATGACTGCTGAAATAGTCTCTAGTGTGTCAGGAAGTGTGAAGATGGAAGAAACAGGACAGGACGGGGTTCAATTCTGTTCATAATGTCACTATGAGTCATACTTGGCTCAATGACACCTAAACAACAACAATGACGATGACAACAACAAAGATTTAAAACAAATCCACAAGAATCAAAAGCTAACCATGAGTCTATCCCACCTGAATTTAAAAACCATCTCTAGAACAGATTTGAGGCCTTGAACACTAAGGAATGAAGACCGGATGAGCTGTACAAGAATATGAAGATAATCATACATTAGAATGTAAAAGGTTATTGTAAAAACAAAGGAAGAAGAAAAGGCTGAGATGGATGTCAGAAGAGACTCTGAGTATTGCACTAGAGTGCTGAGAAGCCAAAGCGAAGGGAAGAAATTAGGAAGTTAAGGAGCTGAACAAAGATTTTAAAAGGCAGCCAAAAAGACTAAGCACATTTTTATAATAAAATGTGCAAAGAGCTGGAGTCGGAGAATGGAAAAGGACAAACTCACTCAGTATTTCTCAAGGTGAAGGAACTGAAGAACAAATTCAAACCTCGAGTTGCATTACTTAAAGATGTTATTCTGAGCAGAATATTGAATAATCCAGGAAGAATCAAAAGAAGATGGATGTAGTAATCAAAGTCACTTGACTTAAAAGAATTGTCTGACACAGATGAATTTCAGAAAACAACATATAACTAATAGGCAATGGTGATAAAGTTCAAGTTCAAGCTAATCTAAAGGAATTGGCAAAACCAAGGTCCCAGAAATTTATGAAATACAAATTAACATATTTTAACAAACAGATGCTGCCCTGGATAGGCTCACTAGGTTCTGCCAAGAAATCTGGAAGACAACTAGCTGGCGACTGTCTGGAAGAAATTCATATTTATTCTCATTATAAGAAGAAAAACAGTTGATTAAACAGAATGTGAAAATTATCAAACAACATCACTAATATTGCACACAGCCAAAATCATGCTGAAGGTTATTCAATGACTGAAATAGTACATCACAGAGAATTAGAAGAAATATAAACTGGGTTTAGAAAAGGCTATGTTATTAGGAACATCATTGTTATGTCAGATGGATCTTGACTGAAAGCAGAGAGTACCATAGGAATGTCTATCTTTGTTTCATTGACTACACAAAGGCATTTGATGGTGAGGAACACAACAAATTGTGCCTAACCTTGGGAAGAAATGGAATCTCAGAAGAGTTAATTGTGCTTTTGAGAAATCTATACTTGGATAGAGAAGCAGCTGTCAGAACAGAGCAAGGAAACACTGCGTGGTTCAAAATTAGGAATGAAGTGTAGAAGTGTGTCATGGATGTGTCCTGTGTTCATACCTTTTCAGTCTATACTTGGAACAGATCATTCGGGAGCCTAGTCTTTTTTGAGAAGGAATGTAGCATCAGTATTGGAAGAAGAAAAACAGACACCAAAAAATTTAAAAATAAAGACTTGGAAGAAGATTCATCAACGACTTACATTATGCAGATGACACCACCTTGTTTGTTGAAGCTGAGGAAGACATCTGCTACAAAAAAATCAAGTACTACAGTCTTCAATATGGATTGAAGCTCAAATCAAGAAAACAAAGATTCTTAGTACTGCTCCAATTGACACCACCATAATAGATGGAGAAGAGTTTGAGATTAACAATTTTTACTTCCTTGGATGTACAATCAACACTCTTAGCACAAGCAGGCAGGTGAAAAGATTAAAATATGAATTGGATCAACAAAGTCTGCTAATAGGAACCTCTCCAGAGTATTGAAGAGCAAAGATGTCAGACTACAGACTAAGGTGTGTCTGATTCATGGTCTTTATAATCACTGTTTATATTT